TAAAGACGGTATTTCGCTCGTTGTTTCTACAAATGAACCCATTGCACTGACAGATGAAAGATAACTATTGATAACCAAAAGGAAAAATACTTTTGATATTAAAATCTTCTGTAATGTTTACTGTGAACCTCGCTACTAATTGGGAAGTAAAAGACTTTATCCAGTTCTCAGCTGCTTTTATTATCTTCTCTATTATTTTTTCTATTCATTTCTATTATTTAGTGTTTACTTAGCGTGGGTCTAATTGACGAAATTCTAATTTCTGTGACTTGTTACTGGGTTATAATCTATTTTGTTATTATTATTATCGTTGCTTTCAATCACCGTGCTGTCATATTGGTCATTCTGTCCTTTTTTGCATGCTCATTAAGAAGTCATGACAATTTTATTCGCCGGATCTAAATATCTGCAATACGATGATATATCTGATGACAAATAGCTGAAACTCAGATGATTATCCAATTTTCTAAAGCAAAAAATAAAAGCCACACGTCGAAAACAGGTCCTAAAGATGTCTACATTAGTTTGTTAGGCGGCATCTATTTTCCTGTAATTTAATTGGACAACTGGCTTATCTGGATGGACCTAGTTGTCGGCCTATATGTCGACAAGAGTATGGTGAACTGGGCACGGCTAAAAATAGCGTGCACTGAAGTGAGCACTAGAAATGTTTTGAATGGTAGCAACGGGTATATTAGGTTTTTATGCCGCTGATATACAGGCCCCGGTTCTCAATTGCAGATCAGTTTTTCTTATATCTCGTTTGAATCAAGTGGCTTCACAACAGTTGATTCATCGCTTTGTGTATCCAGCACCTGGGGCGGAGTGCTCGATGGAAGGAACCTCGGCGGTACAGAATGACACTGAAGATGACTTCGATAAATAACAAACGAGGCTTCAGCCCGATATTTAAGGCGAAGTTGTTGAGGTTTCATTTCACGGTTCGCTGGGAACACAGCATTTGTAACAGTACCGAGACAAATCTGTCGTCGAATCCGATAAACGAAGAGGACCTCTTCCCAAGCATCTCTTGAGTATCTGCTTGATATTCAAGAGGTACATTCACTTAATCACTTGACAAGGAATAGAAAGATGTGTCCAGTATCTCGCTAACGATCAATTCCTATGTCATTTAGAACGAATGCGGCGAGCGTAGATCTGAAGCGGGCGCTTCTTCAAAGGTATGGCCTATTACACGGCGCAAATTTCTTTTAGAGCAAGTACGGCTTGCGATTCCCCGTTTATAGCTTGATCAATGTGCTATATACGGATCATTATCGATGCGACCCAGAGAATAGTATGACATAATGATTGATACCTAATGTCACTGAAGAAATATTGAAAAGCCCAGTAAAGTGCGAGTTCTAGAATAGTGTTTCAGGTGAGATGTGTAGGTCTGAAAAAATCAATAAAATCAAAATAATAATAATAATCAGAACACAGGGAATGTCCTAACTCTATTGTTTTTCTGGTCTCCGTTAAACGTCCCACACAAAACAAGTAACAAAAGCCAAGTACTTTTACCAGCTGAACGATTGTTGCTTTCCGATATCAGCCTGTCGAAGACAAACGTCACTAGAATAGCATACAACAAACCACCATTGGAGTATACTTATTGCTAAACCTTTACTGCTAATAAAAACAGTTATGGTTATATCGTACGACTATATGTATCAGGCTTAAGACGTACAGAACTATCGGCTTGCTCTGAGTTAATCAGGGTCAAGAACTATAGAAGGTAAAAGCGTAGCTCGTGAAAAAGAGACCAGGCCCTGGCTAACTATCGTCTAGGGAACAGTTTTATTCTGTTGAACGGAACGTATGATTTCGACAAAGTGATGCTACCTTTGATTACAACGAATGAATCACTTTTGAGCAGAGACTCCCACCGTAGCTAGATGTATACCTTTCGAACCAAAAGTCCTAACCTAAGTTAACCTAATCGTGTTGGTCTAGCTAACTGTTGGGATTGTGGTCATAGTCCTGGGTGCTCCCACCACTTCCTATCATACGTAAAAGTTATTTTCGAAGTGTGGCCATATTAGTCATCTTCTAGAACCATTAAACTGCCTTCATCCGGGGTGAAAATCGGCTAGTCCAATAGAGCGGTGGGGATCATTTCAAGTATAGAAGGCACTGGTGTTGAAGTAACCAAATTATTTCAAACAATTAGGTTGTTATTGCGAAGTGAAATAATTTGAAAAAATAACGAGGTCTCGATTAAGGTGAATGTTACCGTTTCGCTAATCAGTATGCTGCCATATTGCCATATAATTAAAAAAGTTCGACCTACTGTAAATTGAAGTTTTTGCCTTCGGCAAGCATTTGTTGTACTTATACTGCCCCTCTCTCCCCTCTCTCCCCTCTCTCTCTCTCCCATCTCTCTCTCTCTCTCTCTCTAGAAAGAATCTTAGTAAGCTTTGGAAATTTATTATACTATGTATATATTATGTAGATTTGTACATGGGTTTGATATTGAAAACGAATGGGCTTATTGACTCCACAGCACAGTGGCGTAGATGCTAACACTTTTACGAATTATGCAGTACCGTGTCTATTTTATACATAGATATGTATGCATCTCACACAATTGGCAGAAGTTACACAAAACAATTATCTAATTTCTACTATATTTACTATCGACAATAAGGTCTGTCTTTAATTTCGGTCTATTTGACGTTGACCGAAAACTAATATGGTCCACGTAGCGATTCATCGGGCGACTTAGCAAGCAGCAATCTGATCTCAGTCAACCTGACGATGCCCAAAATGCTGATATTATCTGGGCAAATACATTGATCTTATCATTTATCTATCTCTATTGATATTGTTGTCATTAAGCGACCGGGTTTAACCGACCGTATTGTCGGCCCGTTCACGATTCGCGCGATATGGGCCACATTCAGCAAACGCACGTTGAATCCAATTGCGGCTCGAGCGCGGTAGGTCCAACTACTTCGTTCGAGTTTACCGAAGATGCAAGCTGGGAGAAAGAAAAGGTCGAAAACTAGTCCTCTAGCTAAAGCACAGGATAGTGGGAAAGCTCTGCATAAAAAAAAAGGCAGAAAGGTGCTTCAGCGTTTGAAGCGGTGGTACCACCCCTCAATTGGCATATGGCGCGGCGGTTCCGTCTTCAGCGCTGGTGTTGGGTTTCATATTGGCGCGCTAGGTCTCCAAAATTGCTGCTCATAGACGAGGCCGATTAGAACGCAGCTACGAACTGGCAGTTTCGCCAACCCCCTGGAGACTCGAAAAGGAAGAGAGCAATTGGGAACAGCGTGCCAGCGAAGTGAAGTCTAGTTAAGGAGGGATATTGGATAGTCGAATAAATGCCGGGTTGGAAGAAGCACAGTCTGCCGACGGACCCCAGAATTTATTTCATCGGTATAGTATTCAAAGCATGGCCTACACATTCTATATAGACTGAAGTTCATTTCAAATATGAAAATGGCAGAATATCAGAAACACGGACTGATGGAGGGACAAATCTACCGAAGCTAAAAGCCAACGTAGCAGCGATAGTGGCGTATAGCTTAGTGTACTGGAACCTTAGAAGGAAGAACACTAACAGGAGGGATGTGTAAATATACCGAAACGATGCTACAACCAAAGACGAAGATATTTTGTCCTCAGCTGAATGAAGTGATGATAGTCAGTTCGGCAAGCCTGCTTCGTTCAAAGTAGCTCAGATTTCAAATCGCTGAGACGGCTATGCAGCGTTGCAAACGCCGGATTTCGAAATATGAATTTTATTAGCTGATATTTAACCATTGTCATCTATAGCCTTACGCTGTTCTGTCTATGTAACGGAAGGTTATAGGCTGGTGAACATGAGACCATACTTGGCAGTAGCGGTAGACTTTGTACAGAGGAAGTAACATATAGGGACGTGCGGGATTGATCTGGCTGATACAGGCAGACGAGAAATGGTCGGGAAGCTCTTTACGAAACAAGCGAATGATGGAGACAATGACACGCAGAGTCTTCAAGAAGTGGATATGATCGATCTAGCTTTCGATCTCTATTAATTTATTACGTTCTACAGTATTCATAATCGATAGTGGACGCTTATTCCACGTGTCGATTCGTGCTTCTTCACTGGCAAACGTGACGTCCTTTTAGTCTTTAAAACTTCTACGGACCGTATAGATAGGCTGTCGCACGAGCGGACAGGTAGCTTTCTCTTCCCCACTTATAACGTATTTTGATTTCTCTTAACATACATACTTAAGTAAAGTATTTGTTGTGCGCTGTCGAGGCACTTTAGATAATTTAACTATTTAGAATTAGGTAAGCTCAGCCATATGCAGCTTTTAGCAATATGCAGTTCTCAAATAAACGGAGGGCTTAACTTAGCTAAGAGCGATAGCCGTAAACAGCAAATGCACCCATATTTTTAGCGTCATTTAGATTTTGTTATGGTATTTTTTCGAACGCTACTTCAAGACGTAGCGAAACATCAGACCCGTGATCAGCATACAAACGAATGGATGCACACACATCGACTTAACGAGAACGTCAACAATGGCCATAATTCATTTGGCAGCATCTGAGACAGCGTCACGCTCTGGTCGCTGCACGTTTCTTTATAGTAAAAAGGTTTCACACAGTTTTCGAAAAGTTGCGTAAGTTGTAAAAGCAGTCAGCTTCTTCTCAGACGGAACTTATACTCTGGCCACTACTGATTTTTTAAATCAATCGCTAAAGAAAAACCCTCGTTTTTAACTTAATGTTCCCTAAGAGACAAAATTAGCTACAGTTTACGTTGAAAGTTATCTACTTGCACGTTGACGGCATTTATTTATATAGTTGTATTCTTACGGCTATTGGGTTCCGTAAATAAGACGGTAGACACTTTTGAAGGAACTATGGCAAAGTAGTAACCTTTTTCCGACCAAAATGGCGCCTCAAGTTGCGAGTACATGAATAATCAACGAGAAGATGTACAAAACACACAATCATTGTATAATTTTTCCTTCCACGATTATCTTTATTGGCAGATGCACACGGAAACGTAAAGGAACTGGTATTCCCGAAGGCGCTGGATCTAGACCGACCAAAAAGATTAAGAACGACCTTTAGCAAGGAGCAACTTGATGCACTCGAATCGGTATTTAAGATCAAGCAGTATGTCGTTGGAAAGGAACGAACACAACTGGCAGGCCAACTGGGCCTGACCGAAAACCAGGTAAGTGGAGCAAGTGCGTATCATTTTCGCACACTGTGATTTCAATGATGCCTAAACGGTGAAACACTGGCGTTTACCCATCTGCTAGACCGAGACGGCCCTAATTAATTTGCGCCGCGATCATCTGCATAAATGTTGACCAACAACAATACACCCATATTATGTCGTCTATTATTATTACGTATGGTGATGGTGATGTTTCAGATAAAAGTTTGGTTCCAAAATCGACGTACAAAGCACAAAAAAGAGGAGGAGTGTGGCGGAATCTCCGCTGGCGAAGGGGTTCCCTCATCGCTCGGAGCAGCACAACTAAGTGACGGTGGAGCCCCATTACCGACCGCATTGTCGACCCGACTCCAACAACATCCATTACCAGGTGTGCCATCTGCAGTGGGCCCGCTAGTTTCGCCCTTAGCGCCTTCTGTACCACTCTTCTTTCCTAGCAGCCTGTTTAATCTTCAGCAGATGGCGGGTGGGGCAGCAACTGTTGCTACAGCCGTAGGTTCGCATGGCAACGCCGACCCCGAGTCCGTATCGCCCCCCGTTCCTAAACAAAATATTTTTCGACCCTTCTGCCTATGACTGACGAACTACCCTAAATTCTATACCTGTTCTCAAGTTCACCGAATTGGTACTAAATGCTATCGCGATATCATAGATATGGATGAAAAATGTGCAGGGAGACGCCTGTCGCAAACGGTGAAATATGCGTATCGAGAGCGTATCTGGCCGCTAGTAAACCATCTGACTGTTTAATGCAACGAAGGAATGCCTTTACTGAAAAACTATAAATTACTCATCGCTTAGCTAGCGTGTGTGCATTGACCTTAATTGCATGTCCAGAGTTCACAGGTCTATATATATATATATATATATATATATACGTAGATATGGCGAAATACAATTTCATAAATAAATATGTTGCTTTAAATACAACAGATAATAACGTAAATGGCTCTTTAAATAAATATATTCAGTGAAAACGCGAATTCTTGAATTCGTAACAGGGCGACAGAAAATGAATACTATTCCGCCATATAATTAGCTCCGCTTCATGGACTCAATTTTTAGACGTACAAATGATGTGTACATATAAAAACTATAATTTATGAATATAATAAATGCAACAAACGTATACTATTCCCACCGTTTAAGGTAACATGCGCGGTGCTGATTTGCAAATTATGTATAATATTGAACTTACGTACATCTCACATAAACGCAAAATAACAATAATAACACCATCGAAGTTTAACTGCTGTATAAAATAAAGCTTTCGTGATTCAATGTTCTCCACTGTGAATATAAGTGAGGTTTTTTAGCAAAAACAAAAACGCATCGATTCGAAAATCGTTAACGTGGCCAGCCGGATGTGAAAATGTATGCCATAGAACGTAACTGTAAAACGAACACAGATCTCCTCTGATAAACTTTAAGGATTTGCTTTCCTCTACGTGTGTCTAGTTTCTAACGGCACCAGTTCAAAGATAGGCTAAATTATACCTTTGTCCATATATGAGATAAATGACTTTGTGGAAATTTCTGCGTTGATGGAAACGAAGTTTTGAAGCATATTATTTTGTTTAGAAACAATTCCATACAACGGAAATTACTACAGGTTTTTGATATGTGGTAAATTGACCGCCAATGAAGCTTGGCGGCAATGTAACAAATAATAATACAGTAGTACAAACGTGCTTGCTCATTAATCTTAGGGACATGCAGCGTTTCAGGACTGAATCCGATCGTAGACCGGAAACCAGGCCTCTGATAAATGCCTAAGCCCCCTTTGGGCCGATCGTAAAATTAGAAACAATCAGTACAATCATTAGATAATGAAACGGCATCTGTATAATGTATCGTTAGGTCCGTGGGAAACCCATTTCGACAACTTCTAACCCCTGTTATTTCATCGTTCGGCTTAAAATGCCTCTCCTCTTAGCCGTACCTTGTTTGCTACACTAATCACATTTTGCCCTAATTATTCTCCCGTGCAATCCAATCATGTGACTCTACTCTGTCCTAATCGTTTTAAGGTCTCTCTGCATTGATAGGAGCTAGGCGCGACAGCGTACACTATCATTCATCGCGTGCACGCGTCCTGCGTCACACATGAACTCACTGAGCGTGTCATTGCCGACGGCTTGACCTTAGGCGTGTTGTTGTTCGCACCGTAAATAAATATAATTTTTGCACAAGGTCAGTGCCAGGAATGGAGAAGTATCTTTTTCCTAACCATTTAGTGCAAGAAATAATAGCAAAGCCTAGATAAACCTTAACAACGTAAACAATTTATTGGCTACTGAGAGAAATTTCTAAGATAGAGTAAGACGAAAATCGAAGGCAACTCGGCATAGCCCATCAAAATGAATCGAAAGACCGACAACCTACAATATTTTCTAAGCCGATCTGGATGGATATGCGCAGGCTATATAGTTATTTTCAGAAATTTAAAAAAAATAGTTTCTAGAAGAAAAAAGCCTATATGTTTGACAATTGTTTGCGGCAAGCTGTTTATCGGCGACATTTCTACCTCTGACTGTTATGTTAAAAACAACTGCAGCTCGAGAAAGTGACGCTGCCGTGACGGTGGTGACGAATGGAGACAGTCCAACGGACGCTTGCCTGAGCAAAAAAACAAAAAAAGAAAATAAATAAGAACGCCCAAGTGACGCTGCGATGACTTACCCCATCAGCCGAGTTATCTTGGAGAGAGGATGAGTTCTCACCCCAATGCTCCCAAGTCTGATACACTTTGGTGCGCACTTGGACAGATCTGACGGCTGTGGCGTCATCTCATGAGCTCCGCCTGGCTGGATAATTGCCATACGCCTGTTGTCTTATCGCGTGGCAGAACACTTGATAATCTTGTGATTCCTACGGTGTGCTAGAAGTTTGTCCATGTGTACATAATAGAGCATGTTGTGAGTCAGTAGCTTACCAGCTTCAAAGCGGTAGAGTATGATCTTAGTGTATTAACTATTACGGTGTATCGGCTGAGTGCTACAGATTAAAGTGTGGCAAATTTTTTTTTAAGAAACGCGTTGATTATGAGGAAATTTTCGACAAAACGACACATCATTAAACGGATCTGAACATTGATATGCAGTGAAAATCTGCCTGACCTTACGTGAACAATCGTCATCTCCGGGAAGAGTCCTTTTTATAGATACTGTATCGGCTGGTTCGTTATAAGGTATATAGTTTTTGTATTTGTTTATTATTTAATAACGCTTACAGATTCGAATAGACGAGGCTGTGGCTCGGGTTAGGCTGATAAGGACCATACCTTGTCCGCGATGATATTGAAATCGTATAGTTTATGTAATCATAGTAGTTTGTTTAGTTACGTATTCATTATCAGTACGGTGCTTTAATTTAAGGGTGAGGTATTGTGATGAAGAACGGAGAAAACAAAATTGCGTCAAAGGTTTTCGGACTATTGTGAAATTGAAATTGGTTAACGCCCACGTTACACAAACATGGGAATAGTGTAAACATGCTCGTTATTCTAAGCTCTGAGCTACTACAGCTTTGTAGATTCTATAATACATACCCAAATTTAACTTGAAGCAAATCACCGATTATTTAGAAAATAGCTTTCAAATATCGATTTTCTAATTTTCATCGGCAACATTTTCTGATCCAGTATATGTTCTCTGAGATCCGAACATTTACCGATATGAAATTTTCAATTATAATGGTTATCCTGAAGGCAACCTTGATCGTTCTGAATGAATCGATAGCTCTTAAATCCTACTCTAACCTCAATGTAGAACTTTTCTTCTGACAGCATTACGACGGAACGTACTTATGTTTATTAAGTGCACTGATTGATTTGTCACTTAACTTTATCAAGTGAAGGGCATTTCTGCGTGTTTTTCTCTGTTGCGATCCATATCCGATTTTCTAAGTACATTTGCAAAGATTCAACCCTTACGATCCTATAAACCGCTCTATAGTAGATGGATAGAGCACGTATTGTAAGGGAACTTCTTCTAAGAACTTCTAAGAGAAGTCGTAGAGACAAGATACGTCCGGTTCCTTTCACCTGGCTGCTTATTCGTCCACTATGGCAGGTGTTGCAATGGCTCAGTTGTAGCCATACGGCGCTTCTCTGCTAAATATATTGTTCTGGTGGAAGTAATGGGAACTATAGTAGTGTACTTTCTCCATGACCTACGGAAGTATCGTGAAGGCCTTAGCTGGTAACTAAAATTGCTCGCATCTGAGAGGCGAGAGAGGACAGCATGGCAAATAAACGATAAATAAGACGAAATCGAATTTCACACTATTTGCCCCTCCTGGTCAATCATCCGTAGTAAAGGTAATTTATCACTGCAGTGTTTATCCGTCATTACCGCGGATGTGGCGCGATACAAAATGTCCACTAGCAGCGAGACGTCAGCGGTGCGCATATTAATTAGTGTGGTCGATTCGTTTGGAGACGAACCGATCGGAATCAGCATCAGACTAGATAACGTGCTTCATGTCTGAAGAGCGCTAGAAGAAAGAGGTTTTCCTTGTCGGCGTAGAGCATCTCGTACACGCTCACACAGACATTCAATGACATTAAAGGAATTTGTTGTGGTTTCATTTTGTATTACTGTTGCTACTGGACGCGTCACGCGGACGCTGCTCCAAAGCCAACAACTGAGGCCGGAGCCAACCTATTACGATGATATACACGTAAGCTGGCAAAGAAGCATGCCGTTGCAGTGACAAAAAAAAATGCCGAGAAAAAAGCGGCCTTTCTCTGAGCCGCGTTTGTTTAACTGCCGCCGACTGACCCAGCATCCCGTGTAGTTCTATCAAACTCTGTTTGTAGAAAGATAGACATTTATCAAGCTCAATTACCGCAGTTCGTCTCCTCTTCTTCTCACCTGTAATATTCGCACACGCTTTATGTTGTCGACTTTCTAGACTTGCTGGCACTATTTACCTGCGCGCGCATCGGATGGTGTCGGTAAAAAAATTTTCCTTAAACAATTAGCCACCAGTGGACGATACGGACCTCTAAATAGCGCCCAAACATGGCACCGACGAAGCTCACTGACCACAGCTTCTGGGTACAATATAGAGGGGTAAAATGAGCAAATTAGTTAAACAACCCGATGGCTAAACACAGTTCGTGGGGCAAGGAGTAAGAGCCAACAATTGTATTAGGTGCTTTAGAATCAAGTATTTAGCGTACGACAAATTATATAAACAACAGTAAAATTTCTTAATTATAGCTTCAAGCATGATACATGTATGGTTGAAAATATTCACAAAAAAATAACTTGATTACAACTCACACGTTCATATGTAAAGATGGACAAAGCTAAAATAAGATTAATCTAAGCTTTTTGTTGGCCCCAACTGTTTGTTTCCGTAATGGTAATATAATCAGGAGCAATAAAACGATACTGGAGATGAATTTAGAATATTATCTAGCTAATTAATTAGACTTTTTTTCTTTTCGTCTACTTTATAGTAAAATTATATATGATACAGCATTTTTTTTTATAGGCTAGATGACACTATATATTATAGGAAAAATGACACTAATAGACAAATTTATTACCCCTTATTTCATCTAATAAAGACCACTTGGTGTTTCGTTTTTTCCCAGTAACACAAATAGGAAAAGTGGGTTACTGTGACAATACCTGAAAGAGTTTATGCTTTAAGAGTAATCACCCCCGACAGGTAAATAGAACGATGACGGCCTCTGATGAATGCCGCATTCATCACTAATCCGCATTGCTTTCCCCTGGCCTGCGTAGTTTATCCCTACCGATCTCATGTACCGTTGCGTTGATTATCTATTTAATATAATTTCTAAACTATGATTCGACAAAATGAACGAGGAATAGTTAGTTAACTATTGAGATCAGGGCCCTCGTTTATGAAATTTTTGCGAGGGCCGGGTAAATGAAAACACTTTTCTTTTTTCTTGTTTCATCTAAACGCGCCTATTTTTTCCTAGTTATTTTTGTGCGGTAAAATATAGAAAGACTTATTCGATTTATCTAAACGAATTATGCTTAGCCTAAAAAGACAGTACATATAACACAGACGAGAGGTTGAAAGAAATAATTTTTTACCGTGTGTTTGTAGCTTTAGATCCATGCGTTCATACTGGATAATATTAAACGTTATAACATTGTTTACTTTATTATAGATAATTAATTTGGCATATATTACAGCGGAGGCAGGCAATGCAAATGCACAACAACTTCATAACGGATGCGAATACGACACAAGAAATAGAAGAGACGAGGGGAAACAGAGTGAGCCTGTTTCTTGCATGACAAACAAAGTCAAGAATAGAATCATCGGCACTACGAGAGCCGGTGAATCTTGTCTTATTTAACAAAAAAATACTAGTACAGGTGCGCGCGATCGATCCTGAAAAGCGTAACTCTACAGTCAGTTAATCGCCTAACTTTATTAGGTATTCTAGGACTATTTGCCAGGTCGAAAAACGTGATAACTTCTATTGTGTATGTAAAATATATAGGTATAGACCACTACCGCTTCTAATTTATATATTTGAAATCAGTGCTTTGGGAGAACTGCTGTCTGTTTGTGATTTGTGTCATGATGCTTAAAATCTCGTTATCGATGCTTTGTTTGAGAGGGTCCCTATAACCTTCTTTAAGACATGGAATCTATCGAAACGATAAGAACTTAAATCTGGAGGCTGTAGGAACTGTGACGATAGCCCGTTTTCGTTTTCCGCAATTTAAGCCTGACTGAAGTGTGGCAAGGAAGTTATGCGTTGCCATCACGTAACCATACTGTGTATTGAGGAACTATACGAGAATTCGAGATATCTGGCAGCACTCGCGGATCGATTCGTACTCGTAATATATCACAATATCTCGTAACAACAAATGAGAATAAGCATTAACCTACGTTTGAGGTTCTTCGGTATTGCATACAAAGTTCCTGTTTGACGCCATTTTTTCATTCAGTTGTTGCTTGGTACGTTGTACAGGCTGAGCCATTTCTTATCAATAGGGCTGAAGTGCTCCAGGTGCATTTTCCATTGGTAGTGGCAATACACTATACGAATTTTCACCTTTTTTGAGCTCACTTCATAAGAAGTCTATTTCTATACTGTTTTTGCTCGTTTTTTGGCGTTTCACTCACAATTTCATGCCGCGCGCTTCGACGAATGTCACATTAAGTCGACAGCGAGCGCACGATTACTTACTCGCACGCTTTCGTGGCTGCAGCGACCCGTTTTTCCTTTGTTGAACCCTTATATATGTATCAAAATTCATAATGCTCTCATTACAGCTAGTCAGCTTGTGGTAGTAAATAGCCAAAGACTTGTTGTGACTATTTGTAACTTTCTGTCTACTAATCTGAAGAGTATTAATAGGTTAGTAGTAAGTCTCAGGCCGAAGTTTAGTTAAGCAGATGGGTGGCGAATTACTACGTATTGAACGTGGAGAGGCAGCTTGATCACCAATGCATACTGTTCCTAGAAATATTTCTTTTGTATGGATGCAACCTTTAAGTAAACTTGCACGCCCTTACCTAGGTATAATCAGCGATAATTAGTAACTCTCTATACTCTAAATTATTTAAACGAACCAAACACAGTTAATCATGATCTCAGTAACTAGATTTTCCCTGAGCCCTAATTCCATAGATTCTCAGTTTATTGTTAAGTGCATCGAAAGCTTTCTTAAACAAAAAAACTCGCAGTTGCCAAAATGAAAATAATTTCCGTGCGAAAAAAATATTGCCTACAACTTTGTCGTCTGGCTAAAATCGGAGGTATTTTTTAATCTTTGCTTGAACAAAGACTGAATTTTGCTACAACGCCAAAGAGGTATTAATGAATGATTGGAAACAATTAATAGGAAACACGAAAATAAATTCTAAAAATAGAAGAAAAAAAGTGAAATCTCACTCGTTTTGTGGACAAAGAGAAGCTTCAGATATCACATCTGTGTAGAGGACACGGTCGGGTCTGTGCAGATATGGACGCGGTGCAGGAGGTTCATTGCGCAACTTTTCGATAGTTTCTTGCCAATCTGAAGAAGTTCAAACATACCAATCATTACCTATGAATCAAAGTGCCAACGTCGATTACAGAGCAATAACACTGCGATAAAGTGAACACTGCTTCTAAACCTTGACAGCCACCAAATATTGCCCCTGCCGCTTTCAAGGCCCAGATTCCGCGTGGAACTTACAAAACAGAACACTCAATGACGGATGGACTGATATAATGTCAGAGTCTTGTAAAATACGCCATCACTATCTTTATTTACAGAAATGAGAGCTGGTTGCACGTAATGTGATAAAGGCACACGCTATATGAATTCTATAACTGATAAGTGTTACTCAGATGAAGTAAGGATGTTTCGGAGATAATAGTACATCTCGAAAGAGTGAAATCTACCAAAGGCAAATCAAAGTTCCAGTTAAATCACTTTCAGGTAAAGAAAAACTTGACCCTATCGCATAAAGAATGCAAGGAAACAGGTATTTAGTAGAGCATGTTTATTTCACTTCGATGATTTGGGCCAATCGGCGTAATAGCGTCTCTTAAGTTGGCAACACGGGCAAACTTAGACAATTCCAGTTACTACAACAAGGTAAAGACATGAAAAAGTTGTCCTTCATAAAACTCGCCTTAGTGATTAATCCTAGCGTATGTAAATAAATTATCTTATTTCAATGATTAAACTAACGACATGTTTAGTAGTCGCTCGCATTTAAATAAGATTCTTTATCGCTCCCTGCGTTTTTCCCACTACTACCTTTCTACTACCTCTGAAAAAGCTTGTAACATGGCTACGTACTTCATATTGCAACGATTTCAACGTTTATGAAGACAGCCTCTAGGTTTAATGTTTGTCAGGCCAGACTGCCAATCAGTGCTCAGACCCAACTGCAGCTTTACTTCAAAAGTATCATACGAAACTGCAGTTTTTGATATATACCCTGAAGGTATCATTAATCGTTCGATCCAAATAAACAATAAATCGTCATCGAAAAAACTGCCACTCAACTATTTTTTTGGTCAAACTTTTAGATAAAAAAGCATTGCCTTCTTTTTGGACGATGAGGACGATCTCTTTACGTTCCGAAAATCTTTCTAGGCAAATTTTACATGGCAGTCGTTTGGGTCAAACGTTCAGTAATGTTAGTAAGCAAAGTTTTTCTAAAAGTTTTTGAAGTACGTAAGCACTATCTCTCGAGATATATATATATATATATATATATATATATATATAGGGGATATTCGTGTGTGTTGAACGGGGTAATCTATTGCTTAGTAGATGTATATATAAATGAAGACGCACAAACTGTCAAGAGATTTTTGCCTCACCCTTTGAACCTGACGGAGAGTATGCTTATAAAGCTCAACTAGACAGGCTCTGGGTGCAACTTGAGCAATATATTACGTAGCGTATGATGAGTGAAAATATTTAAATGCAGAACATTTTCTTTTGATACAGACACTCCAAATAAATCTTGTTTTCATTTCGTTGAGTAGACGGACCTGATCACTGACCTACTGCCTGAAGAGAAATAGCCAGGGCCCGGGATATGTGGGGTGTGCGATATGTAGGTTATACATGTTTACAAGTTGAAACAGTATGCGACAGTTGTAAAACATGCACACGACAAGCACGATAAAAGAACTGAATGTAAAAATCCCCGCCGAATTGTCTAATGATCGCTCTGATCTTCCCCGAACACGCAGAGATTATGGTAGCACTGATAGGAGTTGCTATCTGAGTCACTTCCCGATGCAGCTTTTCTGGCACTGTCTGAAGGGGAAAACCCGTGCTCTCGCTAGATTTAACTGAATAGAATTTGCATCTTCTTAATGGAACAACTCTAGATTTTAAAACATGTATTAGAAATATATTCAATAATACATAAGGACGAATCCATAATCATTTCACTAGGAGTGTATATAATAAGCGGTTGCTAAATGGCTTTAGTATATCTGAGGCAATATGAATGGCGACGGGTTGGGCGGAGATTTTACAGTTGTAGATCTGTTAAAATTGTTGCAGCGCCTTGTTTTTGAGCTTCGAACGAAACCGCTTGATAGTAAATGAAATTTCTGTAGAAAAAAAAAAAACAAAAAGCTATGTTTTTCAATTCTGTTATGAAAAATGTATGGTCAAAATGGGTTATTGAGTTTAAAGATGATTTGGTCACTCTCGATTTAGCTTTTAGCTTCGATGTTCAGAACGCTTTCTGTGGTAATCGACGACTTATGATGAAATAAGGCGAAAGCTGAACGAGACGAACACGTGAATAGTCCTGACACCGTCAAAAAACAGCCTGAAAAAAAAGGCTCGTTGCAAAAGAAAGAGCTTGTGATTTAGTTGCTATATGAATTGACCTAAAAGCCATTTTTGATCGGTCAAATTCTACTGCGGCAGGCAATGAAAGCAAACCATTTTCAGCAAACCGCTGGTGATAATAAGTGGGTTACATTTGATAACGAAATGTGAAGAAGGTTCTTGGTGAAATGAGAAGAAGCTTTACAGTCTGCAGCCGTAACTGTTTGGTAAAAAAAAAAAAAAAAAAAAAATGGATTCGTCAAAAACTGACAAGACCACAATAAGCCCCTGGCAAAAAACATCAACTGACCGACCGAAACTGTGAACAAAAAAGCGGTCCATCACGACAATACGATAGACCACGTACATTTTTGGCTACGTGAAAAGGTCATGATTATGGCGCAAATTTAATTTTATAATATTCCTTTTTAAATATAGAAAATATCTTCGATTTCGACCTGAAACACGTCAATACTTTTTCGACCGCCGAATATATGTATGCTTATTTAATTGGAAACTTTTATAAAAAAAAAAAAACTCAAATTTTTACAAAAAAAAATCGTACTCAGTCATGCAGAGACAAAACCTTATATAGCATCAACATTAGATACTTACGTTAAGAGGAAAAGAATTACATGGGCTAAGTTCTACCATTTCTTTACGATCTAATATTGTAAAAGCGATGGATTTGGCTTGGACGACGTCTTTAATTCGACATTAACTTTTTCCTTATCGGTCTATTGTAACAGGACAGCAATTAACTTTAAAGAACTAGCATAAGTTATCTGTCGAAGTTTAGCATCGACTATTGACGAATAGTGGAAAAGAACTTATGATAGTGATATGAATAGTATTCTGTTCCTCCTCTTCCTCTTCCTGGGAAAAAATCTCACATTAAGGTCTAACATAAGCGATTCCTTTGCGGATGCGATAACCGTGACTTCACTGTTCTTCTATTTATTCTCTTCCTAAAAGCGTACCGCAGGAGCACCTTGTCTGTACCATGGGTTAGTCTGTCATAGGACCTTACTCATGGCGCCGATGAAGCTTTCAGCGGGAGGAGCAGAGCCGGCAGCCGGTAATTAGAGTCGATGCGGTCATCCAATCTTCTGGCCGCCTCGCGTATCTTTATCAAACAACTCCTGAACCACAGACGCCTGTGATATTAGAAAAGGAGGAAACGTCAAATGTTAGGTGCCAAAAAAATCGATTCAGCCGGAATTGTAGTTCATCGACACCTTCTAATTTATTGAGGGTTATACGACCCAAAAAAAATGGCAGTAAGGGAAAAAAGGTCTTCACAGTAAGAAGTAGCTCACTGTAAGTCTGCCACTGTTGTTTTCGCTGTTTAATTGATATCGTTTGCAACAATTAATCGATGAACTAGCAAGAGTCTTCCGCAATTTTAAGCACCTAGTATGATGTGAAGGTTCAAATAGGCGTTTCACATTCATCTTACTTTAATGTTGAATATCTAGGGCCTGCAAAATTACAGTACCATGACAATATGTGTAACAAATTGCGATTTTTTTCCTCCTACACCGTTTTATCTACTAGAACTACTAACTATTAGGTCGTTAAAGAAATTACAGAGAACTATATCATTACACAAGTTGTGACGTCGAGGTAAAATTATCCTCCGATTTTAAGTTCGGCCATCTCGGAGGCAAGATCAGTTGGCAAACGAATCGACGGCCCGTGTTCTGCTGATCGAAGTTAACATACCTTTATCTATGGGCAATCACGACATTGAAAAGCTATCGTCATTTTTACTTAGCGCAGTGTACCTTGGCTGGATGCGCATGCACAATGCAAGCCTACCTGGTGATGAAGGCCTTGATAACTTCGATTCAGACACTCTCGGTAAGCCGAACTCTGTCCTAGTATCCAGCTAATAAAGTAAATTCGACATAATAATAGTCTATTAAAGTGACTAATAAAGTCAGCCTTCGTAGAAGGCTGACTACAGCTTCTTGCTTTTTGATACAAAGCAACAATTTTTGAGAAATAGTATTTTATGAAACTTAGCTCGAACGAACTGATAGCTTTCTATATATTATTCTATCGATACAGCAAAGAACTTCTAAGTTACCCGCATCACACACATAATAAAAATAACAATAAAAGCAAGTAATGATTGTTATTCTCAATATTGATGTATGCCTTTAATTTATGTATTCCGTTTAGGCTGAGTTTAACTTTTCTACGTAAGACACTGTCACAAGGTAAACTGACGCGTTCTTTTATAGTAGTTCACTCATATTGGCTATGTAATACGGTCACCCATAGAATGTTCGGACAAAATAATGCTTTGCAAATAAAAAGTACGATTTCTTTATTATTTGTTTTAGAACGCTATTACCAAAGGGCTCAGATCGAATCAATGCTTCGCCATTTGGAGACGAATAGATCAACATTAGGTGGCCTTATCAGCGGTAAAACGCTATATGCTGTCAATCCGTTGCTTTATCTGTTCAAGGAAGGAAATCACTCATGGATATTGGAGTTCCTTTCAAATAATACTGATAACACCAGACCTGAGGAGTACTACCGCAATATCGCAGGTTAGTGGAGAACTTCAGTAGTACTAGGTATTTTGGAGCCGTTTAGAAGGCCGGAAAGCTTCAATGACTTTCGAACCCGATGAGGCAGCAACGATACTTTCGAAATCGTTCTACACACTGAAGCTGGTTAGCCATTACGATAGTCAATCTCGTTAGCGCTGGTTCGTTAAAGAGAATCGACAACAGTATCAGTTACGCCATCTATCGGCCAATTGAAATCGCACGGACCTCAGTATAGAAAGTTAATAGACTGAATTTACAGCTTAATTATGCGTTGCTTGACCTAGGCTACGATCGAAGGGTGGCTATTGTCATGTAATTTTTTCGCAGTCATTTGCCGCACCACACATCCACGACGTTTTTTAAAAATTCGAAGCTGTAACGTTTCCAGCGACATATCATAATATTAAAAGCTTTCGATATCTATTATAAATACGTGCATCCGCTTGGGCCCGAATTTAGACCTCTCTACCGTACGAAGCTTTGGTGGGCAGCACAGATTGATCCATGTTTTACGTATGGCCTGACCCAGACACCTCTATTAGTGACAAATGTCTGTTTTGTTTTAACAAGTGGTTGTGCGATTCATCTCCATGGTCAGTCTTTTTAACATCTTCAGTATTCTCGAAACATATCCTCGAATGTTATAACAAGTGCTAAAAGAGTCTCACAGTAAGCCAACAGGTGCTCTATTTTGCTCAGAAGCCGCCCTGAATTTACCAACTTCTTAATTTGAGGTTTGAGGCGTACTCTCCTTTTCTGTGGTCTTCACTCGTTCAGTTTCCGTTCTTGACTACATTAGTAACAAACTGTTCTTGTCAGATGTATGTATCAGTCTTTAATAGATTCCACCGGCACCCTAATCTCTGAGCAGAAGAAACTTAATCATGAAGTTACGTTTCAACACCAAACAAAATTGTCCCAGTGTAATTTCTCGCTTTTTGATGACATCGAATCGGCATACAATTATATATAGGCGAAAGTTCAATATAAATATTCATAAGGTTTCGTCTGCAACGTTACAATAGTCGTCTAAACGTCATCTGAAAATCTCACAAGCAGCGGTACTACTGTTAAATATAGCTTGTAAAACGTGACATGTAGTGGTACTTCGGTTAACGGCTTAGAAATGCGTAGCAAGTTAGGAGGCATATATATTTATGCCATTTCAACACGAGTGGACCGAAAGACGCCACGTGCCCCCATGTCTGGTTTAAAAACTACCCATTGGAATAAATTGCACGACTCAGATATTTACAGAACGCTGGAAACTAGCACTAAATATTTCCACTTGCGATAGCGATTTTTGGCTCCGAGTTATTCCACGAAAAAAAAAAATTGTTTTCTCTTTTTTTTTTTGCAAGTCTATGTTACGTGAAAAGTTTTCGATCTAACATAATATAACATGCGGAAAACAATAATCAATGTAAAGCACTCAAAGATATTATACTAATAAGTGGATAGCACTATATGCGGCATAGGCTGTCAAGGCAAATGTTAGCCCCTCCTTCATCGTTCAATACAAACGAAGCTATGTTAGTTAGAAAATATCTCAGAAAACTACAAATTAATGCTTATAGGTAGGTGCATGCAGCCTAGAAGAACGCTAAACTATATAAAATAGTTAATTTCTATGCAAAAATCAAGCGATTTTTCTCACTAGTTGATTAGCTGGTTTATGGTGAGGGCTAGACGCAAGACCTGAACTGGCTATTTCAGATACGCAATGCGGCCAGCTACGATCGTATGATTGAGCATGTCATTCAGAGCGCGTAATCCTGCTCGTGTATTATATACTGGAAATTCTACTAATACTCTGTCTTCTTTTTTTTTTCTTCATTCAGCTGATAGCATCTTCATACGAGATCGTAACGAATTGAAGGAGTATTTTCCGATAGTTGTGGCCTTGATGTGCACTTCACTCGTTTTACTTCTAGCCGTCGTTCTTGTCTATACGACAGTCGCGAAGTTGCGTACCACGCACGGCAAAAATGTCATCACCCTGTCAGTCTGTTTTGTCGTCGTCTACATCGGTAATCCGCGCTTACTCTGGCCTTTAAAGCTCGCTCGAGAGTACAAATGCACACAACATAAAGCGAGATTGTCGTTTATATTTACTTAGAGGAATCCTAACCGAGCCTGAAACTGTTTTCTCTAGGTATAACGATTACAGAAATACCATGTACCAATATATATATATATATAAAGCTTTTATATTTTCTGTGTGCAAATTTTTGTTAATTTGCTTTGATGTGGTACCTCTTTTAGGGCCTCTTTGCCGTGAACAGTACTATCTGTAAGATAGGGAATATTTTTTTTAGTCCTAGGTTCCAATCTGGGTAAAATTTACGAAGTACCTAGGGTGGCCAGATTGGCGTAACCAGAATCTCATGCTATGCGCAGGACTTCTTCTGGACCTTGTGGGGCGCGACCTACTTTCTCCTGCTGTGTGCCTCAGTGTTTCTATTGTACAGCACGGCATGTTCCTCGCAGTTTTCTTTTGGACCAACGTGATGGCGTATGATATTTGGCAGGCTATTGGCACCCTCACGCCATATCGAACCCATCCCACGCTTCGGAAGGATAAGTACGGACTTTTCGGTACGCGGCTTATTCTTCATCAAATATATTTCTACATATTTGCTTTCAGACGATACGCTATCTGCTGCAATGTCTTGCTGTATTCCTTATGCTTAGGGATGTCGGAAAAATATCGGAAACATAACCATCATTATCAATTAGAAAACCTACAAGCTTAGATTCGTATTCGTTTTTACTTTTCGTATAATATTTTAGGTACTTCTCGTATTCACTCTACGCTTGGATTATGACGCTAAGCATGGTTCTCACGGCAGTGCTACTCGACTTCACGGATCTCATTGAGCATTGGTATCGTCCCCACTTCGGCGAGGGCAAATGCTGGCTCAATGGCTACCTAGCTTATGTTTTGTATTTTATCATGCCAGTTGGATTGATTCTAACTTGTAATGGCGTTATATTTGCCCTCACTGCCTCGTCTTTACATAAAGCAAAGACCACGACGCTGGTCAATATTTTCCAAGCCGCGCAGCACCGAAGGATGTGAGTGTGAATAGAATGCTCACATCATAGGATATCTACAAACACGAGCGACGCTACAAAATACTTACATAGTCATGATGATAGTGGTGGATTAATTATTCGTTTTTCTTTTAAGCTTGTTTTCATTACCTTCTGTTATCTCTTACCATAATTTTTCTCTTCAAAAATGTACCTTGGTTAGATGTTGGCCGTCTTCATATATCATTTCTAACAATTTCCCAAAAGTCCATCGCAACGTTTACTTTCCATGCCGATTCACTCGCTTCTGTTTTTTTAGCTTTCACCTCTATATGAAGCTGTCCCTCATTATGGGTATCATCTGGACACTCGAGTTCATTCCTTGGCTAACAGGATACCATCGTCTGTACGTGGTTGTCGGTCTTCTTAACTGTCTTCATGGCCTTTATCTGTTTGTTATCTTCTTATGCAAACGCCGTGTCTGGATCGCTTTTAGAGACACGGTCCCGTTTTTGAGGACGCGCCGCTTACCGACGTTACCTCCAGTGCGCGAAATATCAAAAGCGTCTCTTAATGCATTGACAAGTACCACTAGCCTATGTGTAACGCTGAACATCGACGCTACTGAGTCGGATCAAGCATGACTTGAAGGGAAAGACGCCCTGGAAATAACACTGGTCCGACTGTGAACAAGCCAACCTAAAGCCGTGCGTCAGGAGAATGGTTAAGGACGCCCAAAGCGGCTAAGTGTGGGGTTCATGCAGGTTCACAAATGATAAAAACAAAAGAGCAGTTGCCGGCAGCTCTGACTGGCTAGAAGCTAGACAATGACAAAAATTAACCACGGTCGAAAGCATATTATGAAGACAAAAGCCATTGAAATTGAGCAACTGTTGAATTTCTATTTGGAACGATATCAAATTTGCGTGCCTCAGGAAAAAGGCCTGTTTTCATATCGATCGCAATAGATACTGCACGAAATATTCATACGTTGATGATCCATTGAGAACTCAGGTTTGCTCTAATAGAAGCAGAGATTCATAAAGAATCGACAAGTAGTGATGCATCCGTCTAGCCCATTCTGGGCTAATACAAAGTTTCGACAAAAATAAATATAGTTTATGATTACAAACTCGGCAGAAATATATGGTCAATATTGTTTCGTAGGTATTACGCACTCGTTGTTTTAATTGTACTCGTTGAAGGTTACGAAATCTAACACTCTGTCTGATAGACAGGCAGATATTAAGTATGTGTTTAGTAATGAAGATCAGAAATGAGTAAAATCTGTTGTTTTACAAAACGTAAAATTAGAGCTATCACTATTTGTTTCTTTTCCAACTTGCATAAGTTGACCTATCCTTACTTGTTCGAGTCGTTCCATGACCCATTTAGCAGTGTCCTTAGAACAAGTCCGATATCAGCCGATGCCTATTAGACATCTACATAAAATTAATCAAAATAGAAACAGACATTGTTGTCGAGTGGCATACGGTTATTGCGTAATATGGATCAAGGATTAGATAAATACATTTAGCACATTGCCTGTATCTAAACGACAACAATATCTTTTCTCGGAGCTTAACGAGTGAATAGAATTGGGTTTCATCGGCCGCAGTGGAGCCTTCTTCTGCCACGACGCGTACGAGGTTGTGCGGTCTAGGGCAAGGACCACCCCGCTCCCCTTTCCTGTGCCGTACGGAAAACCTCCCAGAGAGCTAGTGAGCCCTTTTTTGAGTCGTATTTTGTATCTGCTAAGCTGCTGCTGCTGCTGCTACTTGATTAGTAATCTTGAAACCAGAATAAAACCGTCTGCTAAGAAAGCTCTTCTGATTATTACGTCACACAGTGTCAAGGGTGATTATCTAGTTGAAACGTACCCTGATCAAATTAAATAGTTTTCAATTCAAATCGAAAAATGGTTTACACTCGTATTCCTAAAAATTATTGCTTCCGTTTGATAATTCGTCAGATACCGTAGAAATAAAAATACCATTATTCTTATTAATGTCTTGCTAACATCTAAACTAACTGAACGTGTTCGTTTAATGTTTAACCAGTACGAGGAAATAAAATGAATATTACAGGTCACGAATCAGTAGCCATAGTCAAATGGAAAACATCCCATCGAGAAAATGTCATGTAAGCCTCCTAATGCATCTCCTACAAGAGACGTCATTTAATTTATCTAAAAAAATAACTGTAACTTAGTCGACAGCATTCGATGCAAATTAAACTTTGCCACCCTATTGTGGCTTAGCCCTAACGGGCGTCCGGTCAGTGCCGGGGACGAAAGACGACACACAATTAAAAAAAAGAAATTAAAAAATTAAGTGTTGCCTAGATATTCTTAAAGCGTCATTATCATCATCATCATCTCACGATAGCTTGTGAATTTGCAATATTTTTTGCCGCAAAACGCGATCACAATTAGCTCTATTGGGATTGTATCATCTGGGCACTCGAGTTCATTCCCTGGCTAACAGGATACCATCGTCTGTACGTGGTTGTCGGTCTTCTTAACTGTCTTCATGGCCTTTATCTGTTTGTTGGTACAATCCAATATGAAATACCCAGCACTTGTTTTCTGGGTATCCGCAGTCGGAGACATTTTACATGACGTACCCATCTATCCCTGTCAATGGAAAAATTGTATGTGCGCAGATCGCTATGACATTTTTTTTTTAATTAAAAAATCGATGTAAATTTCTTCAAGTATTATCTAAATAATATTGTGGTACATAGTGTCACAAGATTCGCGCCGTAGTGGCTTTTTCCTTCCATTAATATAATGGAGTTTTCCAGTATCTAATAGAATTGTGGTTCTCAGTACATTTTCCTGTGCATGATCGAGCTCGCCGAGCGAAAGGGTCAGTGTTTCTAACACCAACAGTTAAATACTAGTACTATTAAATACTGCAGCACAAAGCTGGCCATAAGCAACTTTTGTTAGGAAAATGCGTGAGTTATTTCATGTGATAAGTTATAAAGCATGATGTGATAAGAACATGGTTGTTGCTGAATAACTGTTCTACAAACTTGGTTCAAACTGTATCCGTTTTCACACTAGCATGACGTGAACTTTGACTTAAATGCATTCAAGGATATCTTTGCACGAGCTGGAAAATAAGTTCTTGCAAAAGTTCGTAGATGGATAATATAACAATAAGTAAACCCAGTGTTAGAAAAAAAAATTGTTACTGACAACAAACTCAGACAAAAGGTGGAATAATGAACATTATTCTGTATTAACAACTATCTTCGTTTAAAATGAAAGTGCTCATGTGCAGTCTGTCGCTGTTCAATACATCGCAATTAGGTGCTTGCTATATTGTCGCTGACCTGGCCCATGCAGTCTTTATAGGATTCTCGTTTTTACATTTTTATCTCTAAATAATAGGCCGCTTCGCTATGTGTGTTTATACTCCAGCCTGATCAGCTGGCCATTAGATAGCGTTTGCTGAGCAAGATTGATCATAAGTCGATCAATTGCAGCGTGAGCTTATGGAATCGTTCTAAGCGCCAAATGGAAAGAGACGCCTGGAGCCATACTTGTTCTTTGTCTGGGTTGTTGTCCAGTGATCGCTCGCACGTAACAGGCAACAAAAATGTCTACACTAGCAACGAGAAATCAGGTTTGTTTTGTTCAGGGTCCAAACGAAGGCAGTGGGCCACCGAGCTGAGCGACGACGACGAAACGCCACTAAAAATGTCTTTCTTTCCATCTGTCGGCAAACGTTCCTAGGAAAGCATACATCGCTAAATTTGCTAAGGAGAGAGAGTGACTCGTCCATTGTCGTCCCCTATAGCGCTTGAAGAATCAGTTGGTAACGAGACGGACATTTAACGGACACGGATTGAAGGTCAGCCGATGCTTTTGCTCTTTGGCTGTTGCCGGGCGAAATTGGACACAGAACGATGGAAAAAGTGTTGACGACGTTATTGAAGCGAACCTCAGGAGAAGTAGACAATTTCGGGGAAGAGGGCAATACAGCCTTTTCCATTCCTCATACATCCCTCTCTTCTCTGAAAGTTGTACCGAACACGACGTCTATTTTCCCATTATCCTAAGATGCTACCAACGATAGTCATTGGGTCCCGAGATTGATGTGGTGCAGAGCGGTGAAACGGGGGGTGATTCAGAGAAAGAATACTGGTCGCTAAAGTGAAATTTTCGGCCACCACAGCAATGAACGTCCAAATGGTAGAACCCCTCAATACACCTCCTTCCACATTGATGCAGTGGCGTCTTACGGTGAACAGACTATATCAACATGTATGAAGCTTAGACATCAGATCTTCGTGGAACAGAGCAAAGGTAGCTAACCAGATTCTGCTTCGCAGACTGTAACTGAGGTAGGTAAATACTAATTGCTAAATATGAAAGTATTGGGTTCCGCTTAGGAAAATAGTCTAATTAAAGGATTGGCTCGTTATTATATCCGTGGGCTGACGTTTCTTTTTCGGCGACGCAATCCAGCATTTGCTATACTTTTAACAGACACAGGATTTTAGATAAGAAATGCACCAAAACCAGTTCGCCTTTGTATCGGCTGAGTGTTTTGGAATACAGGTGTGTTCTTTGGGAGGACTTTGTATCGCAAAAGGCTTATACTACGCCCTGAAAGATGAATACTTTCAAATTTTTAAACTTTACTAGAATCATTTTACCATCTGTTACACGCCTGATATGCATGTGAACGAGACGAAGAGGTACCGAGGAAAAAGGTGGAGATTATAAATTAATTCTTATAGGTAGATGTTCTTCCGATTAGAATTTCGTTTTGTTTTAGCGTTAGGAACATTTGTCACCCCGAAAGCACTTCGCCAACTCCTGACTGCAAAATAGGTCCCACAGTCAGCTGCGTAGACGGAGGTGATAGCTATAAATGTGGAAAAAGCAAAGTACATTTTCAACAAAAATACATCTACCAACTCGTCGTAAAAACGGAGAATGAGGCTTCTATACGTACGGTCTGTGAAATGGTGCGAGTAAACGAAACTAAGAAAGAACGAGAGTTCCACATGGACGCAGGTACTCCGCATCGCCTTGTGGTAGGCGGAGTGGGTCAAAATACCTCGCACAGCCCAGGCGACAAAAGCCACCTAAAATTGGCCACACACGGTTAAGCAGAGAACGCACGTACACACTACTGTCCTGCGAGTGTCTCTTGCGCCAAGTTTCAAGTAGAGGACAGAACCAAAACGTTATCAAAGTGATGCCACGCAAATTATTCCGATTTTGTAGATTCGCAAGGGGCGCTCGTTACGAAATATTTAGTGGCTTGGACGTCCAAACCCCCGATAGGAAGAGTCAGGGCCCCTAGTCCAAGCTCCGCCATTGATTTGCAATGCACGACATTTGTGGCCTAATTTAAGAACTAAGAAAAGCATTTTCTAAGACTATAACGCTGCAAGAATTCAAAAGTGCTCATCGAGCAAATTCTGCCTTTTTTATCGATTTTTTTTTCATTTCTGATTAAGAAGCTGCTACGTATTTGCTGAGTTGACAGGCGTTCGATTTGTTCTCAAATAATTGTAAAAAAAAATCAGCAGGATCAATATCTACCCAATTTGACGACAAGGTTCTTTCTTCTTCTTCTGTCTGATTTATTATTAGCATGGTGGTCGTATCGGAATCATAACCGTGATATTACTATATACAGATAAATGACTTCACAGCCGCTTCTGACTTCGTGTGCCTGCTTGCTCTTAACTAAGCAACGACTTCTGGAATGCATTAGGAATTCCTTTGATATCTGTCGTTCCTGTAGTCGACGTGACGTTAAAAGTTGTCGCTGGCGCGTTCCAACGAAACGACAGCGGAAGCGTGGCAGGTCATCAATCTTAACTTCATTTACATACGGCCATTCTGCGCGCGGATGCGGAGTTTGCCAAGCCAGGATAGTCTAACCGTCGTTCAATCCAACCGAGTACGACAATCAATGGTGGGCCGCTGTTTCTCAGCTATCTTAGGAACGAGGTCCGCTGTTGGAAATGTTCTCCAGCCCTCGAGCTTCGGGCTCTGCGTTTCCACGCTGATTAAACCGGAATGAAGGAGAGCGGCTGAGATCATCGAAAGTGAAGCCATCAGTCACCAAGCCCCTGCCAGTGCTGTGTCATGTTACGAGGTCTAAGCTTGCTGGTAGTGTCCATCATTACAAATTTCTAGTTGCATATGTTCCGAATACGATTACTGTGTGAGGAGATCCATACATTTTAACCTAGTGTGCTAGGTCTCATCAGCACGAACGTAAGATTCGCTGCGTAAAATGTTGCCTTAGCAAAATCGATTGTCAACTCAATTCAATCAGTTACTCTGCACAGGTCGTTCAACTCGTACCTTCTTCAGATGAGTAAAACAAGATACCTATGACTACTTACTAGATCTTCGGCTAATCCGAGTAGGTCACGTAAGGTACCATCATCCATGGACGTTAGAATAGAATCGTTCACGCATCAA